AGAAAGATAAGAATATTCCCTTCAACATTCATGTTGACCAAGAGATCATAGGAATCATCCTACTAGGGCAAACGTTGTCTGCAAATTGGGTGACTTTCAAGGACCCAGATTCACACACCTCAGCTGACCTGTAATTTGTCAAAACCATAACTTGAGCTCTGCACATCCTATCAAGGACTTCCACTAAAGCTAAGAACAAGCTCCACAACATTCATGTTGTGGGGAAGATGAGATATCAATCACATCTTGAGCTAAAACTGCCTGGAAGATAGGGATCAAATTAGGGTTTTTTCACTGACAATCCTTGGAAACCCTAACTCAAAACTTCTCAAACTCTTCAATCATGATGAGTTGGCCTAGGAATCATCTTTATAACATCTCCATACATCATTCCATGATCTCATGGCCCTTGGATTAGGTCTCAACCTTCTCCCAATCTTCAGTTATCCTAGGGTTGACCCAGTCAAAACCCTAATTCTACCATTCATGGTTGAATCTTCTGAATTCTTGCATAAAGACCTCTCTGGGCTTCATGATGGCTATCAAGACATCTCATAGGCTTTCTCAAAGCTTCAAGTCCACTCTCAAAGTCTCAGAATCATCTGAGGAGCTCCCACAACTCTCAAGCTATGAAGCACACAACCTTGGTTTCAACCAATTCCTCTGAGGATCTCTTGAACTTTCTGATGAAGGTATCAACTTTCAAACACCTGATAGATAAATAATTGTTGGTCAAATTTTGGGGTGCAACACCTAGGCCACGAGTTGGAGCATTGCTTTGCGTTGAAAGCCAGGGTGCGCGAGTTGATTAGAGAAGGGATACTTAATTTTGCGGATAAGCCTCCAAATGTCCAGAAGAATCCTTTGACGGGGCATCAAAAATGAAGCTTCCCAGTGAATTTATTGGTGTTTCAGACAGGACGGCTCACTGATCTAGTCATTAGGCTATTTGTTTCTCGTTGTTTGCACTTTCCTTATTTTATTACTTGTTTGCTTTCAAATTATGTTTGTACTTTTACATTGATGGAATAAGCATTGCAACTGTCGATTTCAATCCATTTTGTCTATTCATTTGCATCTTTATGTTTTATCTTTTAAATATTTACTTCTTGTCCAAATTTGTGATATGCAAAGATTGGAGGGAGGATGATGAAAACGTTATACCCATAATTGCTGTCAGTATTGCTTTCAATCAAACTTTGTTGACAATGTAAGGCATTGTTTCAACTCCCAAACACTGGAGAAATAAGGAAGTTATCCCCTTGTCACCCCTTCGAGCCTGGAAGTTGGAGTTTCTTTCTTTATAAACAAAAAAAACTCGCTATCTTAACCTGGGGCATGGGTAGTTCTCAGTTAACTCGGTTGTTGTGTTCATACAAGACACCTTTCATATAAAGGTTGCAACCACAGTTTATTTTCCTTCGCTCACAACAAATAAGTGTCGAAGATGTTTTTCAAGCCAAGAAGCCGATGATGGTTCACTGTGATTATTAAGCTAGTCAATCGCTTTCTTTTAAAAAAAAGAGATCAAAAGAAAAAGCCCGCTAAGTCAAAACCTATGAAGGAGACTTAGGCAAAACTGGGGCATCCCACTGACTGTAACTTTCAAAATAAACAGTTCAGGCAAAATTTAGGGATAATAAAAAGAGAAGATCTTTAAATCCTTCATCTTGAAAATCCTCAATTTCAAAACAACCAAATGTTATAAGAAGCAGTGACTGCCTTTTCAAAAGGTCTATTAACTTCTGAACCATCATCACTATAATCAGTACAACTCCTAACCTATGGGAACCTGAGCGTATAGTTTAAGTTAACTGAGCATAGGATTGAAGATCATCACGAAGAAGGGGAGGGTACAAATAAACTTTGAGCCTTTATATTCTGTTTCTTAAACCATGAACCAGACCACGTTACAACACTCAAAAGACCTAATTGAAGCAAGGTTATTTTGAAAGCATACTACAGCAAGGTTGTGTAACCTGACTCCAAAAGATCTTTGTGAATCATTCATTTTGGCAATACACTTTATTTTAAACCTTGAGCGTCTTGAACCACCGTGTTCTGACCAACGAATTATTTTTCATTTTTCAAAAATAATTTTGATTTCAAAGGTCGCATGAACTTTGCATTACCATGTTTGTATGAATATTTTTGTTTTGCAAACCGGCTTTCCTCTAAGGAATTTTCAAACAATGAGAAACTTGGTCAAGTGATCCTATCAGAGGCAAGTTCCGCTTACATCCTGTCTAAGAATCAGTTGAAGATTTGTTCAAGGCAAGATCTTCTCAGATTTGGTTTATCCAGAAAATTTTCGAGACTCATACTGGGGCAAGCCTTCTGAGGATACAGTAAAACAGTCCTATTCATGAATCAGATAAGCTGAAGCAATCATCAGTTTGTCTAATCTGGGGCAGTGTACTTGAAAAATCCCCAAGCAGCTATTCACCCTTCCTACAAGGACTATCAACTTGATACAGTTTAATAGAATGGCAATGATGTATGGGTTGAGGAATCAGTCTTCCAATTTTGTCATCTCACCAACAGAGTCGAGCCTTGTCGTCGACATTTGCATTTGCATTTGATCATGTATCATAGCATAATTCATGTGCATGTTCACATCATGGGTGTTTTATCCCCATTTGCGTTCTTCTCCCGAGGTCGTGTTTTACACGCGTCCTACCTTGTGGAAGAATTCCAATTTACCTGGCAGCATAGGTGTTTTATCCCCATTTGCTTTTTTTCTCCCGAGGTCGTGTTTTACTCGCGTCTTACCTTATGGTCAAAGTCCAATTTACTTGGCACCTATCAACTATTGTGTGTCGTGTTTATCTGACGTTCTTCTAGATGTGACACGTCTCCTTTCCGATTTTTTTCCAGATATGTCTTTATTCTGATGCTCTTCCAGAACTCATTTGTTGGTTATCTGACGTTCTTCCAGATATGTCTTCAAACTTCTCCCGTACGTTTAGTGTTTCCCTAAATGTTTCGGGTATACCTTCAGAGACTTTGGCCTCATCTCTTGCCCTCGTAGATGTTGTCAGTTTATGCCATCCAGCATTCATTCGCTGTTATTCCGAGTGTATTGGGTGTGTTTCAAAGTTCATTCGATGTTCTTCTGATTGCCTTTGATACTAGTCTCTGTTTCCCCGAGTTCATTCGACGTTCTTCCGAGTGTCTTTGACGTCTATTCCTATCTTTCAGAATTTATTCGACGTTCTTCCGAATATCTCTGTTGTGTTTCAAAGTTCATTCGATGTTCTTCCGAGTGTCTTTGACGTCTGTTTCTATATTTCAGAGTTTATTCGACGTTCTTCCGAATATCCTCATTATCTTTCAGAATTCTTTTGATGTTCTTCCAAGTAGTCTGATGTTTGTTTATCCCTGTATTTGTTTTCCGATGATTCCTGAAGATCCCGCTCGATCTCTTCGTTTAAAGGAAAGTTTCTAAAACTCTAGCGCCTGTCGTTTACCTGGTTCTGCCTCCGTGTAGATCCTATGTTACCTTGGCACTACCGCGAGTCTTCTTCCCCATTGCATTTCCTTGTTGCGCCATCCCTTGTGATGTTGTTTCGTCCGCATCCGTGCATTTGTACTTCTCATCATACGCATCACGTTAGGTTCATGGCATTGTCAGCATTTTAGTTCATTCTATTTTGTCCATACCATTGCTTAGCGCGGTATCTAAAGGCAAAAATTTTGGTTATCTGTATTTAAATCCCTTCCACCACGATTTCTCAAGTCTCCACTGCTCAAATCACCCGGTGAAGTTATTTAAATAGGGGCAACTGTCATACCCCAAATTTTACCTTTAGATTAGTGATCATTTTCGCATTTCATTCTAGTACATCTTTCGTTTTAGTTAACAATTTAACCAGTTTGTTCATTTTGTTTAGACGTGGTCACTGTAATGAACGCAGATCATAAGGGTTGTGTACACGTGTTCATATGGTTCATATCCTGCAAAGTCGGGTTCGAATGGATGGGCATTTGGAAAAGTTGGTTGAAACGTTTGGAGTATGGTATTTAAATGGTATCTTCGTGGTCGAAAGATTTACTGCACAAGCTTTGTCCGTATTGGTGGAGTTATTTCTTGGAATTCATTATGTTTCAAAGTAGAGAAATTCGAGCAAATTTTCCGATTCAAGTTCAGCAAGGAGAAATGCATGAATGACATAAATAAAAGTCCAAGAGCCTCTATTTTCTTTACAAGGAAAATTTCAAATATGAGCTCGAGAGACCCAAGGATTTATTAAAGGTCAAGAACAAGCTTCCAATCCAAAGATAAAGTTAATACATCTTGTTCAATTCCAATTGGAAATTCATGAGAGTCCAAGTTTACAAATTCATTAGTTCAAAACAACAAGTTTAAATTGGCATAAGATGGGAACATTGTTAAACACACGAATTTGTGACTCCATCGATTAACAAGAGTAAGAGTCAGACAAAACTATTATCGCTGGAAGTGCATTATGAAAATAGAAGGATACAAAGCTCATTGCAAGTCATAATATCTTCTTTCACTTTCAAAATTACTCAAAAATTTAGAAGAGGAAGTTTCATGACAGCAAGATTCCATACAAATTTCAATTTGCCAATAGTAAGTTACAACCACCATACAAAGACAAATTACAAAGTCAGGTATCAAGTCTCAATTCAGTCAATGTTCACCAATTGGATTCAATTTCATAATTATTACAAAAGTGCCCAAATTCAACTTATTATACAAAAAAGTGAACAGAAAAGAAAGGTACATAAGCACGTAAAGTCCGATCCCTATTTAATTCCTCTTTGGGCTCGCGAAACGCATGCTTTCTAAGGCCACCCTCATTTTGGATGTCGAAAGCCACCAAAACCAACTAGAACAGCTGCTACGATAAAACCAGACCAAGGTATCACCATTAACACACATGAAGTGTTATGACAGACTCCTGGATATTTGAAAACCTGCAAGGAATTGCTTCAGAACTTCAAACATATGGAGAAACAAAAACAAGTCAGTTATGGAGATGAACAACAATAGAGAGAGTTTTAGCAGAAATGAAGCAAGAGTTCGCACTGTTGTTGAGCTTGGTGGATTTTACACAGAGAGTAGTGAAAAGCAAGAAAAGAAAACTTTTAGAAATTCTCTATCTGCAAGACAAATGAAGTCTCTCATTTCTCTTTGTGATACTCTCTTACCTTCGATCAATGACAGGAACGTTGTTGCTTCATCTGATGAATCTGTAAACAAATTCTACCGCACTTCAGCTTCCATGGTTGGCACACATGAACATTTAGGAGTTTTGCTGAGTGAGAAACTAGAACATCTGAGTACATGGTTATTTATGATATCATTATGGCTACTATCGACCTGGTTTGGCACATTGATATTGTGTGGTGCTGCATGTCTGTCAACAAAACTCCCATTCTTCCATAGCTACCCTCACTTGTCGCCGGAGAAATGTGAAAAAAAATATTGCAGGGTTGGTCTCAAAGTTACTTTCGAGCCCTTAGGATGCTCTCCAGAACCATAAAGCTTCTCACTCTCTTCGTCTTTTTTTTTACTCAGATAGATGAAGAAGAAAACAACCAATACTTCTTTGATTCCATAAACCTGCGGTAAGATAATAGAGACTATCAAAGCCATGTTCCGAGTCTCAACAGTCGTGATGCCCCTATCACACGAAAATGACCAATAATCGGTCGTTCATATTGTTGTAAATAAGGTTGATCCCATGGAGTTCCACCCTGCAAAAACATGATGGAAGAAGGATTAGACTAAGTCAGTAAAATCCAGCAAGACAATAACGACTGTGTATTATCCTAAAAAGAAATAAGTCTTTACTCCAAGCATTGAAACATTACAGTTGGCAAGGAAAGTTCAAAACAATTCAAAAGAAATAGTTTCTGTTATAAACGGAAGTTTACTCAAACAACAAAACATCATTAAAATCGTTCAGATTCTTCCCAAAAACCGTGTAAAGCATGTCTCAGACAAAATTAAGTGACAAAAAAATTTTCTTTCCATAACATGTTTAAGACAGCATCAGCTTATTTCCAAAACAAGAACCGACAAGATTAATCTCATTTTCATGTCGAAATCAAAGGTTTTAATGCCCTAAAAGCTATAAGAACCATACAGAGAAGTTAGAACAAAGGGGGAAAATATCAGAGAGAGGTTCACAGATTCACAACACACATTACAAACACACAAAATTGCAGAAGAGCCCAAAAACCCCAAAACGAAATAGGAGATTTCACAAACAGATACTCACACAGAAAGATACTTTCACAAAGTAAAGAAGAAAAATTCGAAACTTATCTTTTCGCGGAGTTTCTGACGTCACCGTCACCGGAATCCCTCAACCTCGCCGCGCATTATCCCCAGAAACTCTTCAAACCACCCGTCCAAAACCTACAAAAGAGTCCATTTTTCGTAAGTTATTTGTTAACATCCGATGTTTTGATTTTATTTGTTTGTCTGTTTCGATCTAGGAAGGGAAGCGGAGAAACGAAATCGGAGAAAAGTAAAAGAAGAAAAGAAGAAGAAAAGAAGAAGTTGGAAGAGGCAAACGAAAGAGAAGAGGAAGGAAAAGCTGAGAGGAGAGAGAAGAGAAGGAGGGTGAAGGCACCGCATTTGGGGATTTGGGGTTCCCAAACCCTAATCCATTCCCCCTTCGTTTAATGAGCTGAATCGGGTTGGGTCCGGTGGGTTCATCACCACCGGCTCAACCCATTATTATTTCTGTTTTGTTGTTTATTTTATTTTTTATTCTGTTTGTTTTTAGTGCTGTAATATTTGTTTATTAATAGTGAATTACTAACCACTAACACTAACCTACTAACATAAAAAAAAATCTGAAGATAATCTTTTAAAATAACAAAAAGATAATTTAGAATTAATTTTGATTTAACATTTTTTATAACTTTGTTTATTTTTATTTATCAATACTTAAAACATAAGAAATAACATTATTAAAAAAAATAGTAAGGGCTCTGATTTATGTTTTTATTTAGTTTTTTTTTCTGAAATGTAATGAAAAATAATAAAAATATTAGTCTGATCTTTTTAAGTTAAGTTTTTTTTAAAAGATAAAAAAAAAATACTTTTAATAACTAATTTGACTTATTTCCTCTTTAATAATATAAATTTAATTTTTCTTAATAACAAAAAAACTCACAAAAATCATAAACATAATTAACTTCAAATCATTTAGCCTAATTTCTCTTTCTATTCAATTAATAAGAATAACTTTTGTTAGTAATTTAAGACTATTTTCTAAATCTTAAACAAAAATCACAAAAATAAATAATGTTAAAATCAATCGGTATAGTTTTTTTTCTTAACTTAATCATAATTCAAATTCTTTTAATTACATAACTCACAAAAAAAATCTTAAAAATAAATAAACTCTTTTCATTTGCAAATTAACTTCTAAGCATATTTTCAACTTAGCCATAAAACTCTCAAAATATTTAACTTCCAACCTCTAAGTCAATTAAATCAAAACAGTTCACCCATATCTCATCACTTGTATGTCGATTTACATGTTTTCTCTGCTTTATTTTTACCACGTTACTATTTTTTTCCCTCCAAAGGAAAGGTTCACATATTTGACCCCTGTGTCAATGCCTTTACCCTCACCCTAGCCTTAGGATTCGAGTCCCCGTACTCACCTTTTAGGCGTCCCGCCGTGGACATCCCTTCACATCTTCAATCAAATCTTATAACGTAGAAATAGGAGTCCTTGTACTCCAAAATAAGTGCTTCCCGATGAACGTTTATTTTCCCCTGGAACCTTGACCATAGTCAAGAAGTTCCTCATCTCCCTCTATGAGGGGAACTACGAATACTCTGATTCCATCCCCTACCCAGGATACGTAGGCACAAGATGCGAGTCTTGGCGAGTATACTTAGGACTAACCCCCTTAGGTCCTTCTTTTCACTTAACTCTTAGCAATACCATTGAGCAGATAACATAGCAATAACAACATTTTAAAACAAGAGGTTCCTGTAGAGTACTACAGAAGTTTAGGGTGCTAATACCTTCCCTAAACTTAACCAACCCCCGAACCTTATCTCTCCCCGCATCATGTTTACGATGCAAAATAGGTTTTTCCTTCCTTTAACCTTTCCTTCGGATAAATTAAAGACCGGTTGTAAATGAATTAAGATTCAAGTTAATCAATAGCTTGACATCAAAATTTCACCGCAACAATACCCATCGGTACAACACAAGAGCCAACGCTCAGAAGAGAATGGTAGATCAAGACTTGAGATTTGATCAGATCAACAACGATGTCGAAGGGTTACGTGGTGACATTAGCCAAATCATGGAATTCCTTCGGGTAATCAAGGCAAAGATGGACACACAACCTATAGTAGTGTCTGAAATCAACACGAAGACATCAAATCCTCCTCCATTAGTAACTTTAACAATGGAACATCCTTTTGGCATTGCCAGGGATTTCATGCCTCCATACAGTGATGCTCAAAAATTCAATCATCAACCGTATTCTATTCCACAGGGTGTTCCATTAACGATGGATTTCCAAAATCTAATTTACACCCAGTCTGGTGCTCAGGCACAAGTTTGACTAATCTTCAACAATCATCAACCAATATTTGACGTACCCGACGGGTCTGAGATTAAATATGAGAAACATGAGAAACTACGGGTTGAAATGGACATAATGGCCAGGAGAATGAAGGTTATGGAAGGAAACAATGTCTTTGGGTCTGATGCCAAGGACATGTGTTTGGTGTCAGGATTGGTATTTCCTCCCAAATTCGTAATGCCTACATTTGAAAAGTACGAGGGGGCAACCTGCCCAAAAGTTCACCTGATCATGTACTGTCAACGAATGGCCCCACATATTGAGAATGACAAATTATTGATACATTTCTTTCAAGACAGCCTCAAAGGTACCTCTGCTAAATGGTACTTAAGTCTGGATCAGTCTAAAATCTATTGCTTCTAAGATTTGTCTGATGCATTCATTCAATAGTATAAATACAACATGGATTTAGCGCCAGATCGACATCAGCTTCTCAGCATGACTTAAAAGAGTTTGGAATACTTTAAAGAATATGCACAGAGATGGCGCGAAACCGCCGCCCAGGTGGAACCTCTCCTAATGGAAAAAGAGTTGGCTGATTGGTTCGTGGACACCGTCAGGCCCGAATTCTATGAAAGAATGATTAGCAGTATCACAACCAACTTTTCTGATATCGTGGCCGTCGGCGTAAAGGTAGAGGCTGGTTTGAAAAATGGCAAAATGACGAGTTCAGCTAGCACTAGCACAATGAAAAAGCCATCAGGCAACTTCCACAAGAAAAAGGAAGGAGATACTAATACTATAATGTATGGCGAGAGGGTTCAGAATAGAAGAAACCGCCCACAAAATCAACGGTTACCTCGTCTACAACCTCAGCGAAATTATCAGAGACAACAATATGTGGCTGCAGTCATGCCGGTGTTTCAACCCTGGCCAAACCCACAAAATTTTCAGCAACCGGCGCCCAACACCTATCAAAAAAATCACAATTAGAAAGCACGACAACAACAAAGAGCACCAGCTCCAAGGCCTTCTTTCTAGAACAGAAGGCCAGGGATTCATCCTATCCCCATGAGTTACATTGATTTGTACCCTCTAATGGTGCAACAAGGCCTAATTCAGAGTAGGAAGTTGGGTCCCCATTCAACTCCATTACCATATTACTACAACCCGAACGCACGATGTGCATTCCATGAAAATGATGCGGGGCACGACCTCGAAGGTTGCATAGCACTCCAACATATTGTGCGAGAATTGATCGAAAAGAAGATCCTCTGCTTTAAGGACAACCAACCTAACGTGGAAAACCCTCCTTTGCCAAACCATGGCGATGTCCATGTTGTAGAGGAAGATTCTGACGTAAGATTAATTTCTAAGGTGTCTGAAGTCAAAACTTCGTTGGTCGAGTTGCATAAAAAACTGATAAAGGCGAGGCTAATCAAAGGTTCCCATTGAAGCTGTAGTGATTGTCATCGTAATCCACAAGGTTGTAACCTAGTGCAGAGGGATATTCAGTAAATAGTTGATGGAGGTTTGCTACAAATATGTGGGAAGAAGAAAAAAGAAGACATCTCGGTGATTGAGGCAATATTCAATTTACCCAAGAAATCTGAAAAGAGGCCAGTATTCAATACTGTGAATAGCAAGTCTGCTTCTCCCGCTGCTGTCAGGCCTATATTCCACAACAACCCGACACCGACCGCAGACTGGCCAAAACTAAGGTTTGATCCAAGGAGGGGATCAGGTCCTAATCTAAAAGTTATATCTTGGAAACACGACTACTCTTGGTATAACATTAAAGCCGGAAGAAAGTAGGAGGACGTGACCAACATTGTTGGGGCAAGCAAAATGACCCGTAGCGGTCGTGTATATCAACCCAGGGCAAATTTTACTATTCCTCAAGCCGCTGCCGTTGTTCCCAGAGCAACCACTACTGCTCCTAAGGAAACCATTCCTAAGGAAGCTATCTCCAAAG